CATTTTATTTATTCATTTAAATATCTGTGGGCCCTTGTAAAAGACAGGGTTGCAAATATATTTTTATTGCTGTTGTGTTGGTTTAATTATAGTTTTGTTCAGTTTTCCTAGTTATGAATCACTGTCAGTTGACCTCTTTGAGTTTCAGTTTCTTCCTCTCCAAAACAGAGATAAATAATTTTGATGACAGAACTAACTGAAGTCAAGGATATGTTGTTCCTAATGCATGATAAGTATTTCATAAATTATATTTACTGCTGCTCTCATTTTTCAAGTGAACAAAGATACAAATATCTCATATGTTAGAACTTTGAATAATCTAGAAAGTTAAATAAATCTAGCCAAGATCACATGGCTAGATTCCATCCCAAGTCTGTCGGTCTCCTGGACTTAAGCCTTGAACCAATGTGCACTGTGCTCAAATCATCATTTTCCTATTTTATTATTTGATATTAGCCATTATATTCCTTGCTAGATGAACTTGTGATTTTAGATGACATACTCATTGAAATCCAAGGAGAGAACTGAGAAAATAGGCTCACACACAGAATGAAGGGTTGTAAAGCCAAAAATTGTATTATCATACTGTGTCTACTGGATGAGAAGTAGTTGCATGTTATAATGATTTAGACATTGACTTGCTCTAGCTAAAATTGATATTACTATATTTAGGAGAGACTGAGCTGAGGAGAGTAAGAGGTACTTCAGAACAATAAGTTCTCGTGTACCTTGATAGTCTAAAATTGATAAATAAAGGAACAGCTTTATAGCCATATTACTTAGAAATAAAAATTAGCACCGTTGAAATTCTTGAAGATGAAAATCCACGGGCAACAACACTTGGAGAACTGTAGGAGGGAGGTGGAATAAATGACGAATATTTCTGTTACAATTGTTTAACCAATATTTATAAAAATGAGTATGTGTTTGATTAAAAATAATTAAAATAGAATTTTTATCCATCTGGAATTTATACTGCTGAGTAAAATGAGATAGAGATCTAATATCATAGTTTTCCAACTCACTGTCCAGTTGTTAGCTAGGCCAATTTTAATTATAGCTCTTTCTCTTCTCATGTGTTTGTTATTTAAAGTAACACACACCAAAAAAAAATCAGAAATGTGAGGTCATAGACACACACACACTCCTTTTTCTTCACCACAACAGTTTTGGATAACTACATTTATTCAAGTTATACATGTATGATTAGAGAGATTATAAGCACCAGACACAATATGGGAGCTGAGTCTTTAGCAGTAATATAATGGACCTACTGAGGACACTGGCTTTGCATAAATACTTCTTATAATATAGCACACAAGTGGCCAACAAGCACATGCAAAAAAATTCTACATCATTAATCACTGAGAAGAAATGCAGATTAAAACCACAGTGGTACACTATTATATTGCCAAAGAATAAGTAAAATTATAAAGATCTATATTACTAAATCTTGGTAAGAATTTGTGGCTACTTCAAGTCTTATAAATTAGTGGTTGGAATGTAAAATGGTACAACCACATTGGAAATTTTTAGAAAAATGTCTAATGAAAATAAACAAACATCTCTTATGATGAGAAATTCAAGTCCTAGAGATTCAGTCAAAATAAATAAAAATATAAATTAACAGAAAGATTGGTACCACTTCATAGCAACTAAAATCACTACACAGCAACCAAAAACAACCCAGGTAACTATTAATAAAACAAACTATTATATGTTTGTATAATGAAATACTACTCAGCAATAAAAAGAACAAACAATTCATTAAAAGTAATAGATGAATATACAAAATATGCTAATTATTGAAAGAAGCTATTATAGGCTGAATTATGCCCCCCCCCACTTATATGAAGTGCTACCACTAGTACCTAGGAAAGTGACCATATTTGAAGATAAAGCCTTTAAGGATGTTGACAGGTAAAATAAGGTCATATGGGTGGGCCCCAACGCAATATCTTTGTATCCTTAGAAAAACTAGAAAAACGATCAGTGCATAGACAACATATCAACCAAGAGATGATAATCTGAGGTCTCAGGGAAAAGGCAGCCATGTGCAAACCAAAGAGGGAGACGACAAAAGAAATAAAACGTACAAACTCCTTGATGCTGGACTTCCAGCTTCCAGACATAGGAGAAATAAATTTTTGTTGCTTCAGTCACTTAATCTGTTGTATGTTGTTATGATAGCCATAGCAGAACTCTTACACAAAAGAATACATGCCAAATTATTCCAACTACAATGAAATTCTGTAATAGACAAAACTATTGTATGGTGGAGAAATTCTAGATACTAATATTCCACTTTTTGAGAAATTCTACACTTTGTTACTTGCAGCAACTTCAGCATTACTTTTTTAATTGTCTTAGAGCATCTGCCTCATAATTTTGTTGACATTTTGACCCTGTATCCAGTTTCATTTGCCTCTTACTGCATCAAGTCTTCTTTTTTCAACCCCAAGCCTTCAGGTTCAATCCAAAAGAAGTGGGCACAAAACTGTAGCTAAGGACACTTCACAAGTCTGATCTTAAAAAAAGGAAAACAAATGCTGGTCCTGAATCTGCAAGAATTGGGATGAGGCACCTCATATGAGCTATAATTGTGTGACTATAGTCCTTCTCATAATTTTCAACATTTGAATTAACTTGATAAAAATTGTCTAGTTTTCAAAATGGAGGAAAATTTGCCTACCTTTCAAATAAACAGCATTTCTATCTGATCTCACTTTTCTCCTATTTATTCTCCTGTAAATAAAAAGTTCTTCCTTAAAATTGGCAAGAACCTCAGATGATCTTTAGGATTAATATTGCTCTAAACCTGTGGGAGTATTCCAATCTGCATCTGAGAGTCCAAAGTTTAGTGAGATCCCCCCACATGTAAATATTTATTTTTCTATGCCCTATCTTTTTATTAAGTACATTAAAGAGATGTATATTTGAGTCTATTTCACATCTTTCTATAATAATCACACATTTGCATAAAAATCTTTAAATAAATAAATTATTTAAAACCTTAGAAAACTGACAAATATATAGGCTCTAAGACAGAAAAGTGATGTGAATACTACTACTGCTCCTTGGAAGTTCTAATTGCTTTAATATTCTGTCCACTTTTACTTTGAGATGACACTGGATCAGAAATTTGGTACCTTTATGATCTCTGATGTAACAACACTTCAGAGAGAATCTGTGCCTTCACTGAGTATTTTCCTGGTTGGTCATTGTTCTTCTTCATGCACTCATTCATCAAATATCACTCTCCCCAATGTAGATAATAAACATTTGATGGCTCAACTAACTTCTCCCTAAATCCTCCTGTTTCTTAGATGCAATGAAATATGAAGCCTATTGATTCTCCTAATAAAGTAACTTGCTACTATGCTCTTTCTTAGTCCATTCCAACTAGGTCTGGCAAATTCCAAGAATTCGTAATGATACAATCATGACCCAATAACTATAAGACTTTCTAACTCAAGCCCTAAGTAAAAAATAAATGGATATTCTTTGACCCTGATTGTGTTCTTGATCACATGTTTCAGTGATTAAGTATTGTCTCCCAGAATACGGAAAATAAGTGAAAATATATTAATCTCTATAGTATGCATGAAAGCAATATTTTTATTTCCAAACTCTCAGTAATAATAATAATAATAATAAATTAATACAACAAATTGTATCTAACATCACAAGCTGCTGTTTTGATATAATAAGACAATACTCTTCTCAGCACTGATCCAATTTCCAGAAGATATTAATGTGATAAGTCTCAGAGTGTATATATTGATTGGTAAGATACAATTCATTTTTGTGTAAGATGAATTTAATAAGTAACCGAATGCCATATTCTGCAAATATTAATTTGATAATAGCACAATGATGATAAGTAACATAAATTCACCAGTGTTTAATCCAAGTTTCATCTGTAGGAAAAATTAATCTATTAGATCTCTCTGCAAGTAGTCTCTGCAGGTCTTTCTCTGCAGAGCAGATGCAAAAGAAACAATTTCTCACGAGTTTGATCCCCGGTACCAAAAAAACAAAAAGAGAAACAATTTCTCAAACTCTTTCATCTTCACAATACTAATTATTATCTGGATGATAAATGTAATTTCATACACACATATATATATATATATTTTTTTTTTTGAGACAGGGTCTCACTATGTAGCCTGGCCTCAAACTAACAGAAATCCTCCTACCTCAGCCTCCCAAGTGCTGGGATTATAGACATGCACCACCATGCCCAGCTTCACATATATTTTAGATGTCAGTATTATTAAATATTCAAACTCAGTCCATTGTAGTATTATCACCTAGAAATGCTACAATGTGAAATGATTGCCTTCTAAAACTTAATATGAACTTCATCAACATCCTTTATTTATTAGGGCAAGCAATTTAACAGGCCTAAAGCATTTAGGGTGAAATAAAAATTTCTACTGCTACCATCGGAGATTAATAACAAAAAAATTGACACCCCTTTATTCAAAATATTCTGTATGGGGAAAGAGTTATCTTAAATACATGTATCAGATAAGAAGAAAAGGGGGAAACCAACCTTGACCATACCTATTGGCTGTGTATCCTGTGTGTTGATTTAACAATACCTATAGGGAAAAACATGTCTCCTCTGTCTCCTCAGGAGATCTCCCAAGAAGCTATCTAATTCATTTTGACTTAAATCACTCAATGATTCATAAAGCTTCTGTTTCTAAATGATAGCTCTGAATGGAAGGTTCAGTGACAAGTGAGAGCAGTGAGGGAAAATATTTTAGGAAATTATGGTCTGTGGTACAAATTTTGAAAAAAAGTGATAAAAACATAAATATTTATTGGAAACTAGACAGCCCTAGGATGTCACAGCTTGAGCATCAGTGTGACAAACATGCCAAACAATAAGAAAATCCAAACAGAAAATCTCCCACATACCCAGTCATTATTTACTAAATGATGAACTTGTGTAGCTCATGTAAAACAATGAAAATATCTTATTATTTCAGATATTCCAAAGACTACTAGAAGAAATATGCCAAACTATCAGTTTTCAATACCCAAAATTTGATTACCTTGAGGAATTCAGGTAAACAAAGGTATTTAATAAACTGGTTAGCATTTTTATAGCATTATAGTTCAAGACAAATTTCTTATATTTTGAAGATTCCAGAAAGCTCCTCAGTTAAGGTTATAGTGATGAGAGATCTGTGACGGACTACCCCATTGATTATGCCCAAAGCAGACTGTAAGCAGTGCAGGCTGTAAAGAGTTAACCCCACAACGGACTTGTTTATAGAAGTGAGTCTGGCTGATATCTACATGCCAAGGTCAGAGTGACTCTTACCCAGAGTTAAAACCTTCTTTACTAAAAAGACAAGGTTATTAACCACAATCTATATTTTATCTGTTCTGTTCCTAATTCAAGAATGCTTTGTCTCTTCCTTTGTAAGCCTTGCCTACATCAGCAACATATCCATAGCAACTCCATGTAGCCTCTTTACCTCAATCTAACTATAATGTCACCATGGAATATCGAGGGCTCTGGGTGTTCAAGGCCTTTGCTTGCTCAAGTCTTTGCTGCTTAGCACTGGCCACCTGGCTCCCTGTTTTTCTATTTAACTCTGTCTCTGTGTCTTTCTTCTCACCTTACATCATAGCACCAAACAGAAGATTGAAAACCATTGCAGGGGTCTCTGGTAGAGATCTATAATTATAACATAAATCAATTTCAAAAAATGAAAATATCTCTAGTAAAAGGCCCTTTGCTATAGACTTCTGTAAGCAACTTAAAGAAAAAACTATACAGTTTAAGTCCTGTAATTATTGAAAGTAATAGTGTTGAGAAACTATTTCAGAAAGTAGAGGAAAAAGTCTAAGTATAAAAATACTGAATCATTTCTTCTTTTACATGGAGAACCCAGAGTAAAAATAAAGAGCAATGTAAAGGACAACATAAAGGATAGATAAAGGAAGTAGGGAGATAGAGCATTCTCAAAGGGGAAGGGGATGAAGAGATAGAGGAAGAAGGATGGAGGGAAGGAATAAGGTATGTAAAAAGGAATTAGGATGTGTTATGTACATGTACCAACTCCACACAAGGAATGTAAACATTATGTACTACAAACATGTACCAAAAAATGGAAAGGGACCAAGGGATGAGTGGAAGAGGAAAAGGGTGGGAACAGAATGGGAATGAAAAAAGAAATTAAGATGTGTTATACACATGTACCAACTTCCAACAAGGAATGTGAACATTATATACTATACACATGTATTAATAAACTAAACAATTTTTCTTAAAATATTGAATCAATATAGTAGGGATGCTTATGACTGTCCAGTATATTATCCACCACAAGAAATCTTGATGTTCTCTAGAAAGATACAAAGGTAGGAAGAAAGAAGAAGTTAGAAACAAAGCAGTAATCAAATTACAATGAAAAACAATCCTCTCAAACTAAGGTAAAACAGCATATGAACACACATTCATTTATTACATACATATACAAGTAACTATTCTACAAAATACACTGAGGATAAATAAAACAAAAAGAACATCTGCTATATCCTTGCCCTTGTAAATGATTTGGGAAAACAGACAATCACATGACTAAATATAAAATTGCTACAAGGACAGGAAAGGAAATGTGTTATGAGAGAATGTTATGGAGAAATTGACTTAGCTGAAGGTCAGAGACGGCTTCTCTAAGGATTTTACATTTCCCCTGAGTTTTGGGAGATCTTGGGAATTAAGCATGGAAGTGAAGAGTCCAAGACAGAGTATAGTCTGTCCAAAGGACTTCAGTAACTATGAGCATAAGATAATTGATATATAGTAGATTGAAGAATATGGTTGAGAAAAAGAAGGCCAGTGAGACTTGGACACAAGAAGATTCTAGTGAAGATGATCATATACAAGATGATAATGAAGAGTGTTAAAAGTTATATCTAGATGCCCCTCCCTCTCAGAGCCTCATGTGCTCATAGATGGTGCTTTCGGGGAATGGTTGGATCATGGGTATGCGATAATAGGTTAGTCCACTGATTGGTTTACCATAGTTCTGGGTGTGAGTGATGTACTTACTGAGGAGGGAAGGCCCACACTGGGTGTGGGTTACATCAACCAATAGGCTTGTCACCTGGATGGAATAAAAAGGGAAAGAAGAAAAAGTCTTGCTCCCTTCTGTCTACCAGGATTGTGTCTCCTCTGCCGTGCTGTCCTGCCCTGGAGCCAGCCAACTACGAACTGAAACCTCTACGAAGGTGTCAAATATTTTGTCTCAACAATGAGAAAGTAACTAGGACAAAGAGGTAGATAGGGGATAGACCATTCAGGAGATTGTAGGTTAAAGACATCAACTCATTTTTATACTATGACCTACAGTAAGAAATGCTTTCAACATCATAACCCATAGGAATAAATACGTTTAACTTGACTTTAACATTATGTAATAGGTATATGTATCAAAACATTAAACACTAGCCCATTAATATGTACAATTTTTTGTTTTTATGCATCAATTAAAAAGTAATTTTTAAGAAAAAAAAGCTGGGCATGGTGGCACACAACTGCACTCTCAGCATTCTGGGAGTCTGAAGCAGGATGATCCCAAGTTTAAACAGTCTTGGCATGACCTTATCTCCTTATCTCAAAATTTAAAAAAAAACTCAAAAGGGCTGGTGATGTATATCAGTATGAAGCTCTGGTTCAATCAGTACCAAAAATATTTATGATATAATAAAATAGAATGGACACATCTGAGTACTTTTCTCATAATAACAGAATAGCAGCTCATGAAATATTGTATATATATTTCATGATTTAGTAAATTAATTTTATAACATTATTTTTCTATTTACAGTTTGAAAACTTTTGTGGCAAATCTATGTTACAGATTTTGTTTTTTATCTAAAGTCAATTGAGATAACTTAAATTTATATATGATATGAAAGGGTTTGAATAAGAAAGAAGAAACAGTCTCACTGACTGCAGGGTAGAAATTTTTAAATACATAAATTAGAGGCTTTTCCAGTGAGAGTTCAGGAAAGAGATACTAGTGCCTTGACCTTGGATAGTAGCAGAGGAGGGTAAGAAAGAAGATATATTCCAGAAATAATTGAGATGAAAAAGCAGTAAGAGTTTGCAATAAGATAAAAAAGGAGACAATTGTTAAAAATGGCTCTTAGGTTGGAAGAGACCTAATATAACTTAGTGAAAAGAAACTTGAGTGACAAAATATTGTACTTACAATAATAAACAAAGCCATTTAACAAATAATCTTCCAGAAACACATGATACTAACAGAAAAATCAAGATGGAGTTGGAGTCAGATTCTTTTTAAAATGCAAAATGGCAAGTGCTAATACAAAAAGCAACCACAAAATTATGAAGAAAGAAGTTGGTGAGTCAAAAATGTTATGCTGAGGGCCAGGGATTTAGCCCAGTGGTTCCGGCGCCAGCCTCGCAAGTGCAAGGTCCCAAGTTCGATCCCTGGTACCAAAAAAAAAAAGATAAAAAAATGTTATGTGAAGCCAACTTGTCGTCAGACATGAAGGAAAGCAAAGCTATTATAAATGCAGACATAGTGAGAAAAATGTATCTTGCACAATATTTTAAAAACTCATTTGAAGACATGTTTTACTAAGGGATAAATCCTAATTGAAAAGTCAAGAATAAGGAGATTGTGATTTTTTAAAAAGATTAAGTCAATACTCAAACCAATTAAAACAAAATTCTGGTTATAATTATTAAAAATAAGATTAAATTAACACAACGAAAATATATTCCTAAAAGAAAATATACACAGTAAAAAATAATGAAATCACAACATATTCAAGGAAAATGACTAAAAAAATGCTAAATTTCTCATCTAACCAAAGAAATAATGATTTTAAAAATCCAGCTTTGTACAGTCATATGCATCTGTAGTCTCAGCTACTTAGGAAGCTGAGACAGAAGGAAGCTGGAGCCCAGGAGTTCAGGGCAGCCTGAGCAATATGGTCAGACTCCATCTCAAACAAACAAACAAACAAACAAACAAAAATCCATGTGCACTGGATATTAATAATTAGGGAAAAAAATCTTTCAGAAATATTTTTGAATAAATTTAAGTACAGCCACAAATGTAAAATACAATGTAAATTTTTTAAATCTTTTTTTTTTTTTTGGTACTGGGGATTGGGGATTGAACTCAGGACCTTGCGCTTGCGAGGCAGGTGCTGGAACCACTGAGCTAAATCCCCGGTCCTAAAATCTATTTTAATTAACAATAATTTAAAAAATAGATTTAGTGCTGGGAATGTAGCTCAGTGGCATCGTGCCTGCCTGGCAAGTGCAAGATCCTGAGTTCCATCCCCAGTTCTGAAAAAAAAAAAAGTTTTAAAAGCAATGTTTGTATAAAAAGCATTTTAGAGAACAATAAAAAACAAAACTCAATATAAGATATGAAACATATATTACTTATGTCTCATATCATTTAAGCCTCTATTTCAGATACAGGGACTGTTTCACACTTTGAAAGTTCTTGCATAAAAGGAAAACAAAAGTATAAAATATTACATTTTTAAAAGGCTATATCCAAGTTAAAAGGATCAGCTAATTCCCACTTTAAACGCATTACTTTATTAAATAAAAGAGAATGAAAGTCAGTATTTTCTGAAGCCAACAAAATTCTTGAGAATACTTTTTCAATGCGTCAGAGCTTATCATTTGAGAAACACTGATTAGAAAAGATAAAAAGATAAAAACACAAATAGAAACTTCAAGTATATGGTCAAATTTATTTTAAATGCATTATTCGAGTTTAAAAACAAGGCACGGTAAAATAGAACTTAGGCAAAATGGGAAGAAATAACATTGAGAATATAATTGCATAAATTTAAAAATATTACTTATTTTATTTGTTTTGTTTTTTGTTTTTGGTACTGGGGATCGAACTCAGGTCCTTGCACTTGCAAGGCAGGCGACGGAACCACTGAGCTAAATCCCTGGCAATATTTAAAATATTACTTATTTTACAATTGTTTATTTTAAATCTATTCTTTGTGAAAAATATCTTTTG